AGGATGTATCACAGGGAGAAGTCACAGCAGTATAATATTCTTTCAGCCACTTTGGCTTGAGGAATAGTTGGTGTCCTAAAGTCGTTTGAGCACTGGACCGAGGCTGAACATGCTTGTGTTTATTCTGGGAATATGCCCGGATGATGTCCAAGAACACAAATACAAACCTTGGCATTTGCCATGCTGGAGAAAAGGACTGAATATTTACAGTGACAAGAGGAATGATGTGTCTCTCCTTGGACGTGCTCAAGGTTACGCAGCCAGGGGAGTTGTGCTGATCACTCTTGGTAAATAGTGGCTCCCAGGAGATGCTCAAATGCAGACACCAGCAGTGGGAGACGACATTGATATGTAATATTATGCAGAGGGTAATGATCAATACAGTGATGGACGCTGCAACATTTATGCCTACAAGGTGAGATGAGCAAAAGAACCACATGCCAGCAGCTTTATATCTTTCTTCTGATATCTTGCAGCTTTATTTAGGATAGAGATAGCATGATAATAGAGTCACAAGGAGGATGCTGAGGGCAAGAAGTCACCCAGAAGACCTCATCCTCTGGAGGAACACTGGTCTAGCTGGAAGTGGAAAGCAAACCATAGGAGGCCTCCTGGACATATTTTAGACAGGATAACTGGCACAATGCAGCTATAGTCCTTAAAGCCATAAATGTCCCTGGACCAGGAGACACCCAGGGGGATGGACCAGATCAAATGATATCTCCTCCTGGTGACAACCCTCCTGGACCAGGATAAGTAAGATAGCAGCAAGATGTTAACTGATGCCAATGGACATTCATTGAGGGCAGTGACCTTAACGGCTCCCTCATGAAAGCAGAAGTGACTTTCCCACTCCCTGCTCAGGAATACAGGACATTATGGGCATCTGACCCAGTCATAGACCATAGTATTATGGCAAATGGAATCACACAAACTTATTAGGTGAATATGACATTATAGGGTATATCATTAATAACTTGGTGCCTGCATCACCTCAACCAAAACCCTAATAAAGTCCCTATTTAATGTGTACTTCAGGAAATCAATGCCTGGTTATATTTGTACATTTAATGATGATGATGGTTAATAGTTAGGGTATATATTTTGTGCTGACTTGATGAGAAACATATACCAAAAACTGTTATATACTATAAATATATATATACTCACCTTACTCAATGTGAACATTTTCTTTTCAGCTCTTTATTTGGGAAGTGTTTATATTCCAGAGCAAATCTCATAGAAACTTTCAATCTTAACTAATTATTCAAAAAACAAAATGTTACACAATTGAAACCAATATTTCACTAATTTGAATAAATTCCTCTGCTGAAAGTCGTCAGATTTTTTTTTCCTTGTGAATTCTTGTAAGAGGTAAAAAGAGCACAGTGAATTCCTGGGAGGGAACTATTGTCGACAGCCTGTCAAGTTCAAAGGCGTTTTCAGAGCGGGACATTACCTCTACTCCTGAAACAGTAAACAGTGCAGTCAGACTCATCATACACATTAGCAAACCGCTAATGAAAGATGTGAGATATACAGAAATATGAATAAGCATGGAGATGTCACAGTGCAGCAATTGTGTCATTCATTTTCTTTTATTTATGAAAATCAATTGAGGAACCAACCTTAGGGTGATGCAAATTGTTACTGTGAAAACAATGCATTCAAAATGGCATAATTTTAGAGTCATTCTGGGAATGTGAAGAGTTTGAAATGGATCTAATTTTTTGCCATGAGCCATAAGCAGTTTAGGCAGCAATGAATGATTTCGATAATAGTAACTGGGAGGTTTTAGATCTTGAACTGTGATTTGCAGATGCTTATATAATTCATGTGAAACAAATCAGCAGACCTTTTCCTCATTTGACTCTATCTTACCTGTTTTTTTCTCCTCTATCTCACCTCCCTCTTTCTTTCTCACTCTCCCCTACTTTCTTTCATCCTCACACAAAGGCACACACACATAATACACCACCAATTTTCAAGGGTTATTATTACAGTATATATATATCCACCAACATTTTCGATTCAAAATGGTTTTCTTGAACTTGTCGATTACTCTAGTTTCATTGTTTAAAAGAATCAATCATGTTCTAAAGAAGCAGATGGTAGCCTTAAAAGGGAACTTCGGCAGATTTTTACCCTAGTCTTGATCACTAGAGGTCACAGAGTACTGTCGATATGAAAAAGAACGACCAGAATTGGTTCTAGCAAACTGGAGATCCTGCAGCTAATGGCCAGAGCTCCCAGTTAGTTATAATACACTTTTTGGGGGCATATCCTGAAGAGTGCCTTTTGCTCCTCTTAACAGACACAAAATGCAATTAAAATGTCTGTGCAACATGATCAGGGCCCTTACGTGACAACAACATGCCTTTTCAACTCATACGTTGTGCAGAAACCGTACAAAACAGTACTGTCGTCTACCTGTTTTTCCACCGCTCGCTTCACCGAAAGCCCAGAGTAATCGATCGCGGAGATAATAAATTCGTGACGAAAAAAAGTTGATTTCCCCTCAAAAATGTCCGTGTCTTCACACACTACTCTCCGATTTGCACAATTCCTGCAACAATCTCTTCTTCTGCGTTTCCCTGCAACAAGTGAAATCCCACCGGACTTCAGCGCGGGACTGCTCTGGCGCTGAAGTCCCGTGGGATTTCTTTTGCAGGTAACAAATGAGTGGGATCGGAGGTGTTCACAGGGAAGAAGCTGGAGTAAGAATAACGTGTGTTGTTGATCTACTGTGGAAAAAATGTTCGCGTTTGTGCCTTTCCAAATGGTGGCAACATAATGAGAAGGTACAAGTGCCTACACTTTCATCGTCTACCTTTCCATGACCATGAGATACTGCAGTTGTGGCTAGTTGTTCTTCAGCTGGATGTGCAAACCCCAACAGTACAATGCAAAAATGATCACCACATTTGCGTGAACATTTTGGGGGATAATACAGAGACACAACACAGCCGGCTGAGAAAATGCCATTCCGAGGAAAGACTGCTGCAACCACTGTGGAGGTAATGTTATATTCATAACTTCATTTAGCTACGTTTTGGCAGACACGGCTTGAGAAGGGATGTGCGGCAACACATTTTTGAGGGGAAATAAACTTTTTTTTCGTCGCGAAGTTGCATTATCTCAGCTGAAGAACACAGCTGAAGAAAACTAGCCACAACTGCAGTATCTCATGGTCATGGAAAGGTAGACGATGAAAGTGTAGGCACTTGTACCTTCTCATTATGTTGCCACCATTTGGAAAGGCACAAATGCGAACCATTCCTTCTCCACAGTAGATCAAAACACGTTATTCTTACTCCAAGCTTCTTCCCCTGTGAACACCTCCGATCTCCACTCATTTCTTCTTCTGCGTTTACCTGCAACAAGAAATCCCACGGGACTTCAGCACCAGAGCAGTCCCGCGCTGAAGTCCGGTGGGATTTCACTTGTTGCAGGGAAATGCAGAAGAAGAGATTGTTGCAGGAAGTGTGCAAATCGGAGAGTAGTGTGTGAAGACACGGACATTTTTGAGGGGGAAATAAACTTTTTTTGGTCGCGAAGGCATTATCTCCGTGATCGATTATTCTGGGCTTTCGGTGAAGCGAGCGGTGGAAAAACAGGTAGGCGACAGTACTGTTTTGTACGGTTTCTGCACAACGTATGAGTTGAAAAGGCATGTTGTTGTCACGTAAGAGCCCTGATCATGTTGTACAGACATTTTAATTGCATTTTGTGTCTGTTAAGAGGAGCAAAAGGCACTCTTTAGGATATGCCCCCAAAAAGTGTATTATAACTAACTGGGAGCTCTGGCCATTAGCTGCAGGATCTCCAGTTTGCTAGAACCAATTCTGGTCGTTCTTTTTCCTATCGACAGTACTCGGTGACCTCTAGTGATCAAGACTAGGGTAAAAATCTGCCGAAGTTCCCCTTCAAACACTGCCACAATCCTACTTATCCTGAAACAACCACAAATGAGAACCCAATAGTAGTATTTCTGTATTTCTGGGTCTTCTACACGCAACAAAAGAGCAGCATTCAGTGCCACTTTGAGAAAATTAGAGACACTTGTCAGATCTAAAGACATCTAAATGTCTGATTAGCCCTTTAGAAACCGCAACTTGTTTAAAATATCTACTTTCCTAATTAAGGGAATTACAACAACAGGAATTAATTGAGTAAAACACACTTACTAACAATGTAACAGCACTGGTGTGAAAAAAGTGACTGCTAGAAGGAAATTGATGTTACAAGTTACGATTATTAAATGTTTTGCTACTTGCTCAAAATTGTATCAGTGTTGCATAAATATAGCAAAGATTAGGCACTCATAGTGATATTGAATTTTATCTCCTTTTGCACATTTCCGATCTCATTTGTGATGAGCAATGCATGTAAAAGGGTAAACTAATTAAAACTAAACTCATAATGGCTTTAACCTGAATTTACCCCATATTGTGATTCATGTGTTTTCACATGTGCACATGCACAAATCTGTCAATGCTGTTGATCACATTGCACCTATAATCTTTCCCTTGAAGGCCCTTTCCATGCAAGGTTGCTTTGTTGCAGGGTTTTTTATAAATACGAACCAAATAGCCAAATCTGGCCTGATTATCCTGCACCTTGAGTGTGTTCTTTACTCATATTCTTATGTCGGTAAGTCGTACTGCCCATAAACCCGGTTGGCTGCGCGCCTAAAGCCCCACTGTCCCCTGTGAACTGTAAAATAAAGGATTCATCTACTGCCCATGGAGGTATCAAGTTGAAGTAGTGCTCTAACTCGCCCATAAATTATGAGCCAGGTGTTTGGTTTGTTTGCTCTTGTGTGCCGCTGGTGGAAGACATCGGGGTGGCGCCTCCCTCCCTCCTCCTCTCATCCTCTCCCTCCCTCCCTCCCTCCATCTCACCGCTCCCTCGGGTGTGTCTATGGCATCGCCTCTCCTCTCCACGCCGTGTGTGTGTGTGTCTATGTGTGTGTGCTGCTGTTGCTGCCGCCTCCTCCCTCTGCCTCCTATCTGCATCTGCTGCAGAGCTTAGCCAACACGCATCTATGCTGTCTCTCTCTCTCTCTCTCTCTCTCTCTCTCTCTGTCTCTCTTGTTTTCCCACAACCTACCTATTTCTACCCACCAGAATCCGCTCCTTTCTTTCTTTCCTTTGCTTGATAAGGGAGTCAGCGCACACCTACACCCGTGGAGTCTGAAGGGAGAGACGGGGCAGTCAGTAGTCGTCACTTTGGAGTACTGAGGACGGCGGTGAACCGGAGGAGAGCGCCGGATGGGTTAGGAGCCGTGAAACCCACATCACTCACCGCGGATTGAGCAAGCCTCTCTCCCACCCCCACCCCCCCCTCACCAACCCCACATCTCTCCATCCCTTCGCTCTGTCTCTCCCTAGTCTGCAGCCTCCAAGAACAGCCGCCGCATCATTTTTTTCAGAGCAGCAGCCCCCTCCCTCCCTCCATCCTCTCTCTTTCTCTCCATCTCCCTTTTCTGCTGCTTGCACCACTGTGGGAATGCAGCGAAGGTAAACGAATCGTAGAGGCTTCTTTTTTTTCTTCTTCTTCTTCTTCTTCTTCTTCCCCCCCCCCCACACCCCCTCCCTCGCCAAACAACACCGGATCTATCCTCACAGTGGCGGACTGCGGACAGACAGCTCTGGAGACACACGGCTGTCACTCCGGGAAAATCAGAGTGGGGTGGTCGGCGTAAGGGATTGGACTAGATCAGTTTGGATTTACCCCCGCTAACCCCGGACACCACCACTACCTACACCACCCCATCTCACTTGCAGATCACACCAGATCCCCCTTCCTGCCCTGCCTCGTTTCAGTTTAGGTGGCTTTCACCGGCTCTCTCCCTGTACTGGATTACCGGCAGCTGGAGCGACCAGAAAAAAAAAAGAAAAAAAAGGGTGGCCGGGCATGGAGAACTGAGGGGAATATTAGAGGGAAAACTTGAAGTAGCCGACAAGACACCTGCAAGAGAAAAAGGGAAGCACTCTAATGTATGTATATAAAGTCAAATGAACTCAAATGAAACCTAAGAGAATAAAGGAATAAAGGAAAAATCGGTGGTTCATATTTTAAGGACCTTATGCGGCCGATAATCAACCAATTGAGAGTGGAGAAGGGTGCTGCCGTAGCCTGGGTTGTTGATCTACGCACGCACACACGCACATGGATTTACAGCTCCAGTCTGAAGCGGATCGATATCCCTCTCCGTTCTTTTTTTTTTTTTTTTTTTTTTTTACGTCGCCTTTTCTTAACAAGGGAGTGAAGCATCCTGGGATTTATCATCGCTTCGTTAGCGCTGAACTACAGTGAGGTTGCCCCCTCGCTTTGCGCTCTCACCTGTCCATAACCTGTGTGCTTGTGTGGAAGTGTGTATATTCTTGTGCATATTGGTGTGTGTGTGTGTGTGTGTGAGAGAGAGTGTGTGTTTGGTTTGTTGTCCGCCAGAGGGAGTGTAGGTTATATTGCTTGTGTATGCATTTGAGTGCTGTGCCAGATTTTAATTAGTAGTGTGTGACAGTGAGTGATTGAGTCTGCTTGTGCCTGTGCATTAGTTTACGTTTTATGTTTGTGCATGTAGATGTTTAGGCTAGGCATTGTGTCGGTACTTACTTAAGATGCCCAGCATTTCTTCTGCACCACATCCCCTTCCTCGTATATGCCCTTGCATCATTTGGCCACCTGTTTGACCTCCTGAACACCTCAAGAGACGGAAAAAGCTGCGGCAGGATGAGTGAGCGCTCAGGTGCAAGCACTCTAGCAGCCATGACGCTGGAGGAGCCAGGGGCTGAACAGGCATCCCCCCGAGCCCCGGGCCCCCTCCGCTGTGGCCCCTGTGCTGTTTGGCCTCGCCAGCAGACCTGGCTGTGTGCCGTGCCCCTGGTGATGGGTTTTGTGGGATTGGGACTCAGTCTCATGCTGCTGAAATGGATTGTGGTGGGATCTGTCCAAGACTATGTGCCCACAGATCTGGTGGATCCCAAAGGTAGCATTGGACAGGACCCTATATTTCTCTCCAAACCCAGTGCCATGCCCAAGGGCCCTGACATTTCCACTGCAACCACTACTTCAGCTGCCTCTACCACAGCAATGGTGTCGACTACCACACCGCTAGCCGCGGATGGTACCGCCCCAGCGCCAAGAACTCGATCAGGGCCACCAGCAAACCACTCAGCCAATGGCAGCACTGCCAATGGAGATGGCAACCGCGCCCCACATCTTCACAACCGCGTAGGCACTCGCATTAGTGGGACTGTGGTTACCACCTCCACCACTCGCGCCACCCGACTCACCCCACCACCCAATGGTAAGGAAGTCACCCCTCGCAGCACCGTCAGAAAAGGAAGCAGTGCTAGTAATGGACGTAATGGAGCTGCCAACTCAAAGCCAGGACAGACTTCTGCTACCATTACCACCACAGCACCCACCACAACTACGGCTACTGTGAAGACCACCTCCAAGGTGCAGCCGACCACTTCCCAACCGGCAGTCCCTGTCAAGCCCACGTCACGCTGGAATCATGGGCGCCCAGGAAAGGGCCCAGCCACACGCCCACACCACCGTTTCCGAACACGTAAGTTCACTTTTGGGGTTTATAGACTTGTGTGAGAATTGCAGTTGTGTGAGGTTATCTGTGGATCTTGAGGTGAGTGTTTCACAAGAGCTTTTTTATCGGCCTTTACAGCAGTAATAATGGTATGTCACTATAGCTGCCAGTTATCATATATAACTGTATCCATGGGTAAAAAACAAAAAAAACTCTTTTGTCTGATATGCTTTGATATGACTCATGGCCTGAGAATATAAATTATTTCCTTTTATATCCACATGGAAAGTGGATACTCTAGCAGCTTAACATTAATCGTATTCATTAGCACAGACAGATATCAGGGGATATTCTCAGTATTTTCACCCCTCTCGTCTTTATCTTTCACTTGTGCATTAATCCGATATGAATCTTACCTCCGGAGGAGTTTTTTTCCACACACTGGTTTAAGTACCATTAAAGGCAAGGCTCCATGTAGTAGAATTTATTTTATATTGTCTGCTAGAGTTGGGATGTTACAGCTTTGTGATGTGTGCTGTGACTAAGGACAGCATATTTGTGTTATGAAAACAAATAACAGGAGCTGGTGAGGTGTCGAAGTGGGAGAAAGGTTAGCTCTCACCTCCTGTCTAGAGGAATCAGATATAGCAAGGCCACACATCTCATTTAGATGAGAGGATACTGGGAGCACAGTGTCGCAGGTACTGCTTTCACACTGCAGGGAGATACTGAGGGGAAGGGAAAGAGAAAGAGGCTCAGAGAGGGAAAATGGAGGGATATAGGGATGAAAATAAGGTTGCAAAGGACAAGTGGATATAGATGAGATAGGAAATGCAGAAAAAGAGGAAAAATACTTTTGAAAACAACATGAAACCGAAGAGGGTGGCAAAGGAAGGGAAAGACTGCAGGAAGCACAACAAAGCAGGGGAATGGAGAATGGGAGCTGTGAGTAGAGAGAGATGGCAGATGGAGTGGGCTAAGTGAGGGAAAGGCTTGAGGGAGACAGAGGGTATAAAGCAGGGGAGCTGTGAATTTTGCATATTTAGCATTGTGTAAAGAAGGAATGCTTCCTTATTATTCACTCCACAAGGGACATGTTTTTAACATCACAAGGTATTTCTTTCAGACGTGGGTGGGGCAGGATGCAAGTGTAATCATGAGTACTGACTATGTAGTTTTTTTTTTTTCCCTCAAACTCTAGGCGCTCTATTTTCTAACAAATTCTGTTGCAACATGGGATTTTATTGGCAGCTTTGCTTTAAAACTCCCTTTTCGCTCATCATCATCTATATTTAGTTGTATATTCGTCTTAGCTTCCAATTGTTTGTAGCAATGCAAAGGATCCAGGGAGAAACAAGGACTATGATCAACATGTCATGATAGAAATGTGAGCTAAACGGTTTTACCATGGGAGTAAATTATGAAATAGTAATTTTCCTGCTTTTTCCATCTTCAACAAAGTGCTCTAGAGGGCAAAGACAACCCATTAATATGAAAGCTGAAACCTTTACTTCTCCATATTTCTGGTATGGGTCATATGTTTGGACAGCAGTTCCGGTTGACTACATAGTATCATCTCGTTTATCAGTTGGACGCGTCAATGGCATCGATTCCACAGGCAAACAGTGATCAAGTGACACAATTTTCTTCTTCTTTACCTCGGGGCAAAATATTTTCAGCATAGCAGGTTGGACATTGGATATTAAACCATTTGTACTGTTTGCAGCTTTGCAGAAAATAACTTTTACCATTTGAAGGAGAACATTGGCTGTGGTCAGCTTGAATTCACCCAGCATCAATGGATTCCAATGGTGACAAAAATATAGAAATGCCCACGGACGGCCATCAGACTCTTCCTGCAGCATAATCCACTGCTCCATAGTCAATTACATCACTCGACAAAGAGCTGCCAAACAGCTGAAAGCTGCCAAACCGGGCAGCCCCCTTGTGTGAACATCAGGACACATCTGTTTGTACTGTATGCTATAAAAGGGCACTGCCTTCAAAAGCTAAAGCATACTTAGTAAAGCTGCCCTCAATTAATAAAAGCTTTCACAAGTAATTTTGAGTAGAGGCTGATGTTGTTAAGGCTTTACTGCCTACATATTGACATCATACAGAGTTGGGTGACATTTTGGCCCAGTTGTGGAATTTTATCCCTGTTTTTAGTAAATATCTCTTGGGTAACAGGTGGCACTTTACAGACACAAAAAAACACCTCTGCTATGCTCACTGAGTTTCCAATTGGTGGGGATAGATTTTTGCTAATGTTTTAGTGAACTCCTTTTTTAAAAATCTTTATATATATTTTGGGGGCGTTTATTTGACAGGACAGCCAAGATAGATAGGAAAGGAAAGAGAAAGGGGATGACACACAGCAAGGGCCACAGGTTAGGCTCAAACCCATGGCCACTGCAGCAAGGACTCAGACTTGGTCCCACAGCGCCCCACTTTTTTGTTAACTCTGTGTCTCATTTGAACCTAGAACATACAGTTGAAAAACTAGTGAAACCTGTATACTCTCAGCCCCTATCGTTTTGGCCTAGAACAATACCATGGCAGCAAGCATGATTAAAACACTTTGGTAACCATTGGTAATGATGATGTCAATGTCAGTGACAAAAACCTTAAATAAAATAATTGTCTTTGTAGAATCAGATGTTGTGGGTTTGCACCTATCTTCTACTTTCTGAAAAAGACTATCAGTATCTTCTTTATAATTCAGAAAGGGGTTTTGTAGAGAATGTCAAGTGGGAAGTAACTCACTTAGCACAATATACTGCGTGTATTATGGTATCATATAATTATATTTTAAACATCTATTTAATGACAGTGATCTGACGGGATGTGCCTTTTAAAGTTTACATTTCACTAATATGATTATTTAAAGTTTCTGTTGTAAAATTGCTGAGGGTCTTACTCATATTACAGTCTATTCTCATGGCCCAGGATGTGTGCATGAATAATTTGCTGTCACTGATGACTGTTAGGCTGAGACATCTGTGGCAGAATGCGTGTTTTATTTGAACTTGAACATGTGACATTGGAAGACAGATATTTAATAGCACAGAAGTATAGGTTTTGACATGTTAACAGAAGTCAATAATGCTAGAATTGAATTTGCTTAGATGTTATTCTATCCTATATCTAGTATTGACACTGTTGTTTTGGGTGAAAATATTGAAGCATTTGGCTTTACTATTACTTTTATTCACATAACCCTTGTGTACAGCATTTATGTGCTAAATTAATTGCAACTCTAAAACAGTATCCTTAAGGGCAAAAAGCAGCCTTTTATGAAGCTAACTGTGGAGTTACGAACTTCTAAAGCTTGGCTGTATCATGCTTACACTGATAGTATGTAGAGTTGTGCAATGCAGCGTATTTAAAGTGTAATCATACACATAAAATGTCTTGCTGATGATGAAATGCTCTGTAAAACATGGCTTCAGGTGCATTTGTCTTTACCCACAGTTAAGTGATCTCATATTTTATCTTAAGTTGTGTGCTAATGCAGTTATACTGTACGGTCTCGGGTTTCAGATAATCTGGACTGGATATAAGAGGCAGTAACATGATTTTATTCTCTACTCTACTCATTGCTATTGCTCCTGCTGTTTGGTGGAGATCTAAATGAATCTCTGTGTCTCTGTGAAAGACGAGCTCTGTCCGTTGGGGATAATGGCATATTTTACCTACTCCCTTTGTCTTTTTTCCTCCTCTTTCTCCCTCGCACTCCCTCTTTCCCCATGGTTATTGTGTCCACTCTCTGTGTCATTGTACTCTCTCTTCTATTTTTGCCTTGCTTTTGTGTTTTCTATCTTACTTTATACGTTAGCTCCTCGGCTCACACTCATGAGCATATGGGCAGAGGCAGCAAAAATTGGCACACTTCTGAACACAAAGAGAAGCATGTAGCGTGTGTGTGCCATATTCATGAATCTATCATCTGGTTTTTTGTATCTGAGGCTATTATGTATCCGACTCCACTCTCTACATACAAGCCCCATTGGCTCAGAAGTAGGGGAATAACAGGCGAATGGAGCAGTGCACAATGAATGCCTGTTGGGAAACCATGGGATGCTGTGTTGGCTCAGGGCCCATTCCAGTCTCTTCTTGGTTGTGAGAAATCTTCCTTAGTTTAGTGTGGTTGTAATTCTGTGCACATCCCGCTAGCCTAATTCCAGACTTGTGAACCGCCAGCCACATTGAAATTTTTGTCAAGCGATTCAAAAGGTCTGGTGTTGCTCTTCAATTGAATCAATGGCTGTTTCCCCAGTTGGGGAAACAACCGAGTCAGTCAGCGCCTTTTATAGGTGGGACTCATTTTAGGAACGTGTGAGAGCCAGACGCAGCTATCAGGGCTTCTGTAAATCAACTGACTGAAACAACGGCCATTAAATCAGAACAGCTGTGCACTGAAGGCATTTTTTAAAAAAAAGATGAAAAGTATTGTTGCTGTTCTTCCCATGGGTTTAATTTATCAGCTGGCTCCTTTAGCACTTTAGAAAATGGATATCGTGGAACCACTTGTGCCAAAAAATTCCTGAATTCTTGACTTTGTTATTACTTCTTTATCTATAATATCATTTGGCATACGATCAGTGTGTTAAAGCTGACTTCTGTCAGTCACTAATGCAGATTCTGTGTCACCTTAAAGTGACGTAAAGCAGATGGTTACTTCGGTTACAGTGACTGGTGTGGGCAAAACAACTCCCCCATAACAGAAAACAGCTTAACAAGAGGCCAATGTCAAACTGAATGCTGGGACAGGAACAAAATGACATTTCAGTCTGAACAGGAGGCTAGCATCATACAGTTATGAAGTCAAAAGCCAGTCATATATTGTTCCACAGCTTTTTTTTTTCAGATAAGAAAACACAGGAGCACGACACAGACGACAGTTTCCTCTGATGTCACAGAAAAAAAAAGAATAGAAATGGATGTTTTTCCTGACACGCAAGCCCTGGTATTTTTTTTTGTTTGTTTTTTTGTTTTTTTTCCTGACTATACATGAAGCCTGCACA